ATTATTTGTTTTCCTCACCCAAACACTAAAAACGAATTATCGGTAGCACACAAGAATAAGTCAATAAACACTTTAAATAAGCAATCCCAAACACCCCCTAAATACTGATTCATTCGGAGTGTTGAACAGAAGATGGTCAGGATTTTGTAGGGATAAAAATCACTTATCCCAAATTTCCATGTCCACTAAGTAGAGAGAGAAAGTAAACATGAATTAAATAAATTTAAAATAAATGAAAATATGATGTGTCTTAATTTCATTGATGGGACATGAATGAGACGTGTGAATTTGGAACAAGTGATTTCTATCTATTTTAGAGGATCAATATTGTCGACATATTAAGCGAAAATGGTCACATGTATCGATCGATTATCACACAAGGAAGATGTTATCTGAGGCGACAATGTATTAATTTGGTTCATTCCACTCAATCTTGAGTGAAATGGTTTTTACTCCTTTTTATTATAATGATTTATTAGATTAATTGCAACCAAACATCATCATTCATTTCATTTTCATTTCCATTCCTTCTTTGAACCAAACTAATACAATGAATATCATTTCTATTGACTACTTCTTAATACCCCCAACCAAACATCTCTTAAAATATATTGCTTGTTATTATAATTCAGGTGTTTATATTTATTTTAAAGTGAATTACACATTTGGTCACTCATGAATGCCTCCTTTATGCTTTTCGTCCCTCGAAATCATGAAGTACATTGGTGGTCCAAAAATCGTGTTTAAGAGCCCAAATCAGTCCCTCTCACAAAGGCCGTCCAAAAAGCTGTCGTTAGGCTTGTCATGTGCCCCTCACATTTTAGACATTTTACCCTTTTCTTATTTTTTTTATAAAAGAATAAAATAAAATAAATACTATATATAGAAATCAAATATTTATTAAATCAAATCAAATTTAACAAAAGCCCCAAGTTAATACCTACTTTCTTCCCTTCTTCCTAGTGATGGTGATGGTGTTCTTCTAGCCGGACCAAAAGTGATGGTGTTCTTCTAGCCAGACCAAAAGTCTGGTGAAGGAGGGAAATGAATGAACCCAAACATGCATAACCTCTTCATGGAACACTCCATCTACCCCCCTAAACCTGTAAAATCACATTCAAGAAACCATCTTATGCTATGTGTAACCTCTTCATGAAACACTCTATCTCTAACCCCAAACCTGTAAATCTCTCTGTGAAATCCTTCCTCCAACCCCTCAACTTCCTTCTTCCGGAAAGCCGACAACCCAGGTGGTGAACCCCACCGACCTCATCGTTTCACCGGTGAAACCCATCCCTCCCACGATGACGACGTCTCTCTCAACTTGAACCCCTTATGTCGCCTCTCTAGAACTTACATTTATGGTTTTCAATGCAGCTTGAAGAACCATGTGTTTGAGGTTTAGGTTTTCCCTAAACCTGCAAAAATATCGAAGATTCAGATGTTTTTGTTTTCAAGGGGGTTAGAGCATCTCCAACCGATCAGCAAAAAGGGTAATTTGCTGGTGAGACACTTCCAACCGACCGGCATTTAATTTTTTTTTGTCCGGCCAAACTTTTTGAATGACATATGTGTTGGGTAAAACTGCACGTCAAAAAAGTGAGGACCACTCTATCTCTATTAATATTATATATATATATATATATCCTTTTCCTGTTATATATTTCATATAAATTAACATATATATATATATATATATATATATATTAGTTGGGTACAGATGGGTTTATTTATAAGATGTGAGAACGGGTGGAAAGGATGTTACGATATCTTGATCAAATGACTAAAAAGAGGGAACTATATAAATTGTCAAGCATTTCTTAAATATCTAGTTGTGTATCCGTGTAACACAATGGAGTGTGAAATTTAAATAAATGTAAGAAAAGTTGCATAGTACAAATATGTTTTTTTCTAAATAAAACATATAGTTTAGTCCATCTTATTTGAAAGGGATAAAAAGCAAATGATACGATGCCTTTGAATATATACACACACAAAAACATAACGTAATGAATGCTCGTTATTCAATGGTTGTTTGTACCTTAATCGTGTAAAACCTATTGATAAATCATGTTTGATGTATAGACTCCATGATAGTTGAATTTTTTGGCAGGCTTAACCAATACCTTTGTAGTTCCTCGTAATATACATCTAGAAAATGCCACGTAAAGTTAGCCATGAGAGAACACTGTTGGTCTTAGTCGGATCTACAAGAGTTTATAGGTAATCAGTTTGTAGAAGGGGGGGGGGGGTGAATACAAACACAGAAACTTTCACTTTTGAAAATTATATATTGGTAAAGAAGATCTATATAAATTTTACAGATTGTTTGCGTAAGAGATAAGGTAAATAACCTATCTAAACAATTTAAGATACACACAATTACAAATAGTAAAGAGAAAAGATTTTCAACAAGAAATAAGATAAGAATAAAGGTGCTATTCACTTGTTAAAGTGGTTCTTTCTCTTAGACAAGAGTAGTGAGAGAAGTAACTTCTTGGGTAAGTTCTTAGTGAGGAAGATGATAACTGAGAGGGGAACCCCTCAGTTATTTATAACCATTGCATTAAATGTCATTCAAAAGGTACAAAGCACGTGTCAAACTTTTGGAGGAAAGCTTGTTCTTTGTTCAGATTTGGCAGGCTTTTGGCCGTATGTGAACAATACTCTTTCATACAGTAGGTAAGCATGTTAGAGTCAATGGAGTGGCTCCGTACTACACTATACTTTAGAAAGGTATGGGTTTGTCCTTTGTGTGTGGGAGGACAAAACAAAAACAATCTTGCTTGACAAGTTTCATTTGATCGTTGAATATTGGGATACTGCTGAAAGGTCTCTTTAGTGTTCACATATATGTAGACGAGTTTGTTATCACTGAATACCACTTCAGATCACGAATTTGCTGAACTCTAATCTTTAGCTTCTATCTTCGACATTGCTGAAGGATCTATGGTGTGAGTTTTGTTTTCTTAAAGTATAACAGTCTCTAAACGATTTACAATACGCGTTCAGCGATTACTAAACAGACTCAGTGAAGATCGCTGAAACTGAATAATAGAAACGATATACTTATTCAATTGATATTCACCATGAGTTATTAAAAGTTTTCACATTCATCTCTTATTCAATTGCTCTAGAACTCTGGGTCTCACTCTCGATCTCTTGATTCTTTGCTCTTGGTGTAAATCTAACACATTTATGGAGTCATTTAAATATGTTGGATTTTAAATGTATTGAATTTTAAACTGCCATACAATTTTTCTCATCGATAGACTGTAATTGGAACCATAACTCTTATTTATTTAAATTGTATTAATATGTAAGAACAAGTGTAACTTATATCATCGTTAAATCTTCTATAATAAAACAAGTGAATATTCATGATTCTTGGGTATGAATATTCTTAAATGTTCATCATGATTCTTGGGTATGAATATTTGATAAGTATCAATTTATTTGATACTTTTACACTTATTCTTTACTTTATTTACCCATTTTATTTTCCCAAAATTCTGCAAATTGAGTCTTTTTGTTTTATTTTTCTATATTTTTTATATTGGAGCTAAATTGATGTGATAAACATGTTTACTTCTTGGATATGTGCTGATTTTTGGAAAAATAACCATGTTAATAGGTATTTGGCTGAAGCATGCTACAACATGTGCTGCAGGACGATTCCAGGAGCACTTTGGAGAATAGTACGGGGAATCCTTTGAGGTCAAATCCCCCCCTTTTGGCAGCCCATCTCCTGCAAATTTTAAGATCTCATGGTACAAATTTAAGATCTGATTTTTGTGGTTATCTAAGTAACATGGCTTTACCCATTGGACTATGTAAAAAGTTGGGTAAAGCCTTTATCTTTCAGTCCTTGTTCTCCCTTCTTCCACTATATAAAGGGGGGAGGTTTGACATTGTAGATGCAAGTAATTTGTATGCAAGCAATCCTAGAAAAACACTCTAGTAGTTTGAATGTTGAAAGTTATTTTGGATATAAAGTTGTATTTGAAAGTATTTTATTTTTCTTCTATATAATTCCTCTTTACATTTATTTCTTCTATTTTCTTTTATTCTCTACTTATTATGCTTTATTATTATTTATGCAATTAATTTTCCTAGTTTAAGTATTGTTAGACGCTTTTATAATCACGCTTAACATTTATTTATTCTACGTTATTTTTCTTTATTATAAAAGGAATAGTTTGAGCCAATGTCGAGACTCCAGCCTTGCATAGAGATATGAAGGCTTAATCTATGACTGTGTGCCATTATATATCTCGAGAGAGTACCTTAAAAAAGCTATTAGTTGTAAAGATAAGTTATTTATAAAAACATGCTATAGAACCATGCTGTAGCATACTATCTACTTAAAAATCGGTTTAATATCTTAACAAAACCCTACACCCTAAGCTTTCTATTATTATTTGTTCACGACAGTAGTGTTTAATCAACTCACCACAAATATTTCCTCGAATTTATCATCTGAGATCATATCTTTATTTATATTATTAAAACGAACTTTTATTCATTTTCTCTGTGGATGATATTTGATATTTTTACCACTTTATTACTTGTAAAAGACGATAGTTGATTGATAAGTGTATACTTGCACTAGTCTTCATTTGCTAATAGTCCGAAAAATTTATTTTATATAATTCTCGTAACAATATTTTTAAATGTTCATCATTTGAGTTTTTTCTTGTGGGATTTGATTTTAAATATTCATTTTGGATATGAATGTTCTTGAATTGAGGGAGATGCAGATATCTTTCACATGAGGGGCACAATTTAACAGTGTTAGCGGGAAGGACCGATTTGAACTTCAAAACACGATTTCTGGGTCAAGAGTGTATTTTATGATTTCGAGGGACGAAAACAGAAAAGTGAGACATTCATGAGGGACTAAATGTGTAATTCACTCTGATTTTTAAAACTGGGTGATTATTGATTTTTTTTCTTTCTTATCGTAATATATAATGGGTGAAAACCAATTAACAGGAAGTGTTCAACGGAGATGAATAAGTAGGCGTGGGAATCCCTCTTCATCATAATCATCAGTCACAGAAGAAGAATGGAAGCTTATGATGAAACCCCCAGTGGTTTTTTATCATTCTATATATAAATATTCATGCCATACATACAAATGGCATCCTCGGCGTCCTTGCTTCATTACGCCACACCTCCCCTACTTAATCTTCGAAGAACCGCTAGTTTAGGCCCATCGCCTTCCAATTCGAATCCAAATTCGCCGTCTTCATCTTCTTCTTCTTGTTCTTCCTCCTCGTCTTGGCCGTGTTGCCAGGGATTTTCCTGGACTTTCTCCAACTGTTTTGGTAAATTCCTATTCCCTTCTTTCTTGTTTCTCTTGCCTAGTTTTAATTCAATGGCTTTTTTTTTTACTTTTGTTAATCAAAAGGAAAGACGTTGCAAACCTTTTGACGGAAATTGTCAAGGGTAAGATTTGATTTGCCATTTTTGTTGATGGGTTTTGTCTGAATGTGGTCCAAAACTTCGATTAATGTTTTGCCAAAACAGTTTTTATCGTCTCGTCTGTAGATGATATGTTTCCTGTTTATCTGCAAAAACAGAAGCATCACAGCTTCTATGAGTAACGGACCATTTTTGAACCATCAACAAGAAAACGATGTCGGAAATATGATCTTCAGTAGGCCCGATTGTGTTTCTACTGCAAAATGGAGGATGCATCGTCTGTAGATGATATGTTTCCTGTTTATCTGCAAAAACAGAAGCATCACAGCTGTAACGGACCATTTTTTGAACCATCAACAAGAAAACGATGTCGGAAATATGATCTTCAGTAGGCCCGATTGTGTTTCTACTGTAAAATGGAGGATGCATGATGTTAACTATTTGAGATCAATTTTCTGCCTCTTGGTTTAAGATGCAATATTCAATTTTCATACTCTAAGTTCAATAGATTATGAAAGTGGATTGCATGAATGAGACCTACGAGTGAAAAAGTAACCTTTTTGAGTTATGCAACTCTCTCCTTCATTCCTTCCTTACAATCTTGTACCACATTCAATTTAGTGTCCTCTACTGTCTTTGTGCTGAGTCCTTAGTCCAATAGAGTTTGTATAGGGTGAGCCAAAGAGTTGAAAATAGGCTTCCAACCTTCGTTTTGATCTGCATTAAAGTGCTTTGATTTTGTTCCCTATACTCTAATTTATTTATAACTCAATTTCTTGTTTACTTGTGAGGGTTTTGCAAAATGCTGCAGGCATAAATGGCATCTGGAAACATCATATCCTTAGAGCTCAAGCTATGAGCACAACTCAAGGGAATCTTACATCACCAAGGTGTGCCAATGGAGTGAAAGATGAACCGGATCATCTTCTTGTCCTTGTTCATGGAATCTATGCAAGGTAAACATTTCATTTTGTATTGAGATTATGTCTCCATGATAACTGAATGTTGAGACAGTCTGCTCACATATTTGGAGGAGAGTCCACTTTGGATGAGAATGAATGGGGATTTAGAAGAGACAAAGTGGATTGTTTTTAGGGATACAAGATTAGAGTGTTGAATGGTAATTTTTGTTTTTAAGATAGTCGATGCTGCTATAAAAATGCATATTCTGTGCTTTAAGCAACTCATATCTGCTGATTGCTTTTACTGGAACTTCCATGTTTGCAATAAATGACCAAGGTGGTGGTGGCAGCTTTGGTAAGTATCTTTCATTCTACCACGTTGGGGCTTAAAAGGAAAAAGAAAGGGGGGGGGGGGGGGGCGTACTACAACATGTTTTTGATGTTGCGAGAATAGTGTTATTTTATATATATTAGTAGTAGTAAGGCTGGGTAAATAATTGGGAGTCAACAAGAAATAATTCTAGGCCTTTCTGTCCACGTGGAGGGAGAGGGGACCAAGCTGTCAGAACCTCTTTGCTTTCTGTTGGCAGTAGGTTTTAAATAGGAGACATCGTTGGTAGAGGAAGGCATCCAGTTTTGCCAAAATACTTGTAATGACGTGAGTCAGGGAGAGTACCCACCTTTCGAGCGCCAGATTTCACTTTTGAATTGCCAACTGAAGGAGAAATATATGACTATATCCTCTGATCTTAATAAATTGTTCTAAAATATATCAAATTGGTATTAGAGTGAGATCATAGCTGGTAACGACGAAAACCATTGTTTTGCGTGGAAAGGAATTGGAGGGTAGAATTGGTTCTATACGTGTGTGAAGTTGCTGAAGGAGGATTTCAGATCCTTGAGGAGGGATATGGAAACTGTGATAGGATAATGGACATATTAATCTAAGCTTTACGATGAGCCGCTGAAGATGGGTATTACCACAGTTTGTCTGAGGTAGAAGAAGATACAGAGAGGAATCCACATCTTCATGATATTGAGATGGAAGAGAAGAGAGGAGAAAATTTAGAAAAAGAAGGCAGAAGATTAATTACAAGGAATAGGGATGAAGATCGTTTAGATGTGGTTTTTGGGGAACACCACCGCCACTGCCGGTCTCACCACCACCTCTCCCATCTCTGTGGACGATCTCTGCTACCGATCTCGCTACTACCAATATCGTCATCATTCTCCACCCTCTCCGCCATCATTGCCGCCGCCGAAGCCCCCACTATTGTTTTTTCCTCTACGTTGATGGAAGTCAGTACCACAGAAAGGGTGCTGACCATGGTTTTCAAAATCGTTTGAGGAGTACGCCTTGAGGCAAGGCAGTCCAAAACCGCTCATGAGGCAGCGCCTCATGGTCCCTGAACGAGGCTTAAGTCTCAATTGGTGAGGCGGTGCGTTGAGGCGTGAGGCGTTTCTGAGGCGCAGGCCTCTCCAAACAATATTTTATTCTTCTCCATTTCTTACTTTTTCCTTACTCAAGAAGATATTCATCTCAAAGGCCAACCTAAAAAGTAAGTTTTTTTAAGTTTGTGTCCATATTTTTAGTTTATGTTTAATGTATTATATTATATTATTTATATTTCAGTCAAGTATATATGTTTTATATCATGTATAATATATTTTCTATCTGTATAATGTGTTATGTATGTTTTTTTTGTATATTTTCTGTTTTTCTGTAATATTTTTATTTTCTGTTTTCTATATTATTTTCAGTTTTCTGTATTATTTTTCGGTTTTCTGTGGATTTGGAAGATGCAAGTGATTATGGATATGACTGTGGAGCTATATAACTTGATCATGCTACGGGGAACTATAAGATTGATATGTGGTTAGACGTATAACTAGTATTTTATGAATCTATGATGTTTAAAGTTTGTGCAGGTCCGGTTTCTTCCTCGGAGTCACTGTCGGATGCTACTTGTATGAACGACCCTTCATCTTTGGTCATAGGCTTCGTTTTTAATCTTCCTTCGCAGGCGAGATGGTGGTGGGTGCGATTGTCCAGTCGCCGGTTCGTCGATTTGGGGTTCTCTTTGCTGAGCCCTAGATTTTATAATAGCCATTTCTGCCTTAGAATAGGTCTGATAGGTGTAGTTAATCGTAGTCTTAAATGTTGGTACGGGGAAGAAGTGGTCTTGAATGGAGGTCGATGAGAGTAGCGCCGACGATGCAGGACTTCGTCGGCGTGAGATACAGTTACGGTGAGGAGTTGAAGGCAGAGAGAACAGAGCGCAAGGGAAGAATTTAGTGTTTGGTCAGGTGAGTCTTGTCATCTGATTTCTTTTTGCATGAGGTAAGAAGGGAATACTATATCATAAAGTCCCCAAAACAAAATCAGAACCAAACAAAAAAGATTGATAATCAGTATTACTCTATATGGGCTACCAAACCAAGCCCAAGTGATTTCATTTCCAAAATATAGCCCATATCAATTCCCGACCCAACCAACTTTTGGCCCAACATTTTTCTTTGCTTTGACCTAATAAAAAAATTGTCTTCCAAAAACATCCATTTTTTTTTATTTTGTTTTTGTTTTTGAACCGAAAAGAAGTCAACATTCTCATACCATCTTCTTGTTTCATAAAAAATATCATTTTTCAAAAATCTTAAAATTTTTAAAGAAATGAAAATCCCTATGAACCAAGATGATTTCACAAAGCTTTGGCCGAAAATACATGGATTGTTTTGAAAATTGACTTTCGTGCAATTTGTGTTCTACCAAGAATCTTGAGCTAAAAATAAAAAATTACCAAAATTATGCCACGCATAAAAGTTATTTACAAACAATTGGACTTTATCAAAAGCCCCAATTCATTTTTCAAAATGAACAACCCCGGTAGGTTGTTGCAACATTGCCAAGGGATCGAAGAATGGTTTTACACGTCCGTTTACTTTAAACGTAGTACCCTTTTCCGGATCAATTAACTCAATTACTCCACAAGGGTATACTTTGGCAATCTGAAATGGCTCGGTCCATCTTGAATTCAGCTTTCCAGGGAACAACTTGAGTCTAGAATTGAACAGAAGTACTTGTTGACCTTCTGTCAATTCTTTTGGAAGAATTTTCTTGTCATGCCATTTTTTGGTGTTTTCTTTGTAAAGCTTGGCATTTTCATAGGAATAGGTCCTATGTTCTTCCAATTCACACAACTGCAGATATCTTTTCTTTCATGCCTCATCTAAACTCATGTTCATTTCTTTGATGGCCCGGTAGGCTTTGTGTTCTAACTCTAGAGGCAAATGACAAGCTTTACCAAAAACCAGCTTATAGGGAGACATTTCGATGGGGGTTTTGAAAGCAGTCTGGTAGGCCAGTCCTTTTTGTGTGGTTTGACTACTTTTGCTAAAATTTCCTTTATCTCCCTATTTGACAACTCAACTAATCCATTGGTTTGAGGATGGTAGGCTGTGGCCATCCTGTGCTTTATGTCATATTTTTCCAGAGATTCTTACAACAAATTATTTATGAAGTGTGTGCCCTCATCACTAATCAAGGCACGTGGTATACTGAATATTTGTGAAAATGTGCTTGTGTAAGAACTTGATAACAGTCTTAGCATTATTGGAATGGCAAGCCATAGCTTCCACCCATTTAGATACATAGTCTACAACAACCGGTATGTATGAACAATTATTGGAGAGAGGAAATGGACCCATAAAATCTATACCCCAAACATCAAACAATTCTACTTCTAGAATTCCATTTAAAGACATTTCATTTTTTTGAGAAATGTTTCCACTCCTAAGACACTCATTACAACTTTTTACAAAGTTGTTGGCATCATTGTGCAAAGTAGGTCAAAATAAACCTGATTGTAGAATTTTTGCAACTATCCTACTTCCTCCAAAATGTCCTCCACATGGCCCTGAATGTCAGCGCTTAAGAATTGAGATCACTTCCTCTTTCGGGGTGCATCTTCTAATCACTTGATCTGTACAAAGTTTAAATAAGAAAGGTCATCCCACAAATATTTCTTTGAATCAAAGACGAACTTTCTTCTTTGGTGTTTATTTAGCTCTTTGGGATTAATCTCACAAGCTAAATAATTAACAAGATCAACAAACAATGGTACTGTGGTGTTTAGGACCAAAATCTTTTCATCAGGAAATACTCCACAGATGTCACCACTCTGTACAGGTTTGTCTTGTTTTTCCAACCTAGACAAACGGTCAGCCATTTGATTATCCACTCCTTTCCTTTCCTGTCAATGATTTCCAAATCAAATTCTTGAAGTAACAAGACCCACTTTATCAACCTAGGTTTTTACATCCTATTTAGATATGAGGTACTTGATGGCATAATGATCAGTATGAACAATTACCTTAGTGCCCATCAAGTATGATATGAATTTTTTAAAAGCAATCACAACTAATAATTCCTTTTCAGTAGTGGTGTAAGTGATTTGAGCTTCATTGAGAGTTCCGCTTGCATAATAAATTGGGTGGAAAATCTTTTCTCTCTTTTGGCCTAATACAGCTCCTACTGCCCAGTCACTAGCATCACACATTATTTCAAAGGGTTGAGACCAATCAGGTGTTACTACTACAGGGGTAGTGACCAATGCTTCTTTTAAGATCTTAAAAGCCTTTTTGCAATCTTCATCAAAATTGAAGACATGGTCATGTTGTAGCAGTAAACAAAGAGGTTTTGAAAAATCTTTAATGAACTTCCTGTACATGTCCTAAGAAACTTCTGATTCCCTTAACAGTTGTTGGTTCTGGTAATTTTTCAATCACCTCCAACTTTGTTTTATCAACTTCAATGCCTCTTTTAGATATGAGATGTCCTAACACAATGTTCCCTTTAACCATAAAGTGACATTTTCCTAGTTTAAAACCAAATATGTTTCTTCACATCTTTTAAGACTTTTTTCAAGGTCTTGTAAACATAGATCATATGATGTCCCATATACAGAGAAATCATCCATGGAGTGTTCCAACATATCAGAAAAAATAGACATCATACACCTTTGGAAAGTGGCAGGGGCATTACATAAACCAAAAGG